ATAATGATAGCCAAGTGTTCATCAATGTACGGTTGCATCAGTTGTGTACTCTGCAAGACACTGTAATGCGCGTGACTCACCTCTTTGTAATCATGTCGATGAATACTTTTCTACCACTGGTACCCTTCCTAGCCAGCCTACCCTGTGACGAGAATCAGGTTTACCAATCCCTTTCTGTACTTTTAGGTACTCTTGATAGCACTCGACAACTTCTTTAGTACTGTAACCCTTTATCATGGAGCCCTCTGGGTATGCTCGATTATGTACGTATCGACTTAGAACCGACATGAACAGCTCGTAGGACCACATTTCATGCAAGTAGCAAGGGCCCAGCGCCTGTATCTGATGAACCATGTGAATCATGAGATGTGGCATTATATCAAAAAAATCAGGAGGTAAACACATCTCTAGTTGGTTTTGTGTCTCCACCACAAATTCATGTAGGTCACTTAGCTCTTGCTTGCCAATCGTCTTCTGTGAGATCTTCGAAAAGAAGTAGCACATGCGGGTGATGGCCATTTTCAAGAACTCTGGCTTTATAGCACTGATTGCAATAGGTAAAAACACTGTCAGCATCACATGACAATCGTGAGCCTTGCAATGTGTTATTGACAAGTCCTTCATCGACACTAGCTTCTTCACATTCGCTGAAAACCCAGTCAAGACTTTGACCTCCCTCAGGAAAGTGCATATAGCTCTCTTCTCGTCTGGTGTTAAGTTGAAGCACGCCGCGGGTAGAGTGTATTTTCCATTAGCCTCAGGTACCGGGTGAAGCTGTGGCATCACGTTTAGATGCACCATGTCTTTCCATGCTTTCAGACCATCCTTTGACTTGCCTGTGTCCATCAAGGTAGCAATGAGACTCTCAAAGACATGCTTCTGCATGTGCATAGCATCAATGGCATGGGGGACCTCCAAGTCTAGCCAATAAGGCAGATACTGAAAGAAGATCGATTGTTTCTTGAAAGGTACGCCTTCGACAGGAGGTGTGCTTCTATCTCTGTTCGTCCCATCCGGATTCTTCTTTCCATAGACGACGCGTATGTTTTTTTACCATTCTGTACACGTGTTCTCCGTTATGACGTCTCTCCGGAGGGGGTTCAATCTCCGGGGTGTTGTCATAAAATCTAAAGAACAATTTGCTGCAGTACTTGTGACTTATCTTTAAGAAGCGTCAGTTCCTTAGGTAAACTATCTTCTTAGATGCATCCAGGTACACCCATGTAGTACCATCCAAGCAAACCAAGCATCCCGTCTTCCCTTTGATCTATCCAGACAAAGCAAACAGCGCGAGGTAATCATTGGTAGTAACAAATATTATTGCTCTACATATGAAGTCCTCCTTTCGGAATGCATTGTACATCAGCTCCCCATGCCTCCATAGCCTCTCCATTTCTTGCATCAAAGGCTCGAGAAACATGTCTATATCAATGCCTGGTTGTTTAGGGCCAGAAATAAGAATAGTGAGGAGAAGGTACTTTCTCTTCTGACACAACCACGTTGGGATGTTGTACATGGTCAAGAGCACTGGCCAAGTGTTGTGGTCGCTCATCCTCTCATTGAAGGGATTCATTCCATCGGTGCTCAAGCCAAACCGTACATTCCTTGGTTCATCGCTGAATTCTTTGTGCTTCTCATCGAACCTTTGCCACTGACTACAATCAGCCGGGTGTGCAATCTTATCATCATCCACCTTGCGCTCATCATCCACCATGTCATGAGTGCGGCTTCTTTAGGGTTTAGGAAGATACGTCTCAAGCGGTCGGTCACTGGCAGGTACCACATTACCAAGGCAGGAATTCTTCTCTGCTTTGCATCGTTGTCTAATAGAGTGTCCTCTAGGGGTTGAGATTCTTGTACCACCTTTATTGTACCCTTCCTATTCCTCTTTTCCCCGTGGAGGCTTCGTTCCCACCGTAAAGGTCATTGTTCTTGTACCGGCTGGACCCACACTGGGAACATTTATCTAGTGACTTCAATGTTTCGCCATGAAAAAGTATACAGTGGTTAGGGCATGCATGGATTTTTTCAACCTCCATTGTCAATGGACTTATAACCTTCTTCGCTTGGTATATGTTGGCGGGAACTGAGTTTAGTTGTGGCAGCACCCATGACAGGAGACGCAATAGAACATTGAAACTACAGTCTGACCAGCCGTACTTAGCCTTCAGGATGAGTAGCTCAAGCACAAAACGTAGCAATGTCCAATGTGTCGGACAGCCCTTTTCAACACCATACACAGTCTCCTTCGATGCTTTTGTCACCCTTTCCAAATTTTCTAGACCTTTCGGGCTATTTAGTAAAATCTCTAGTCCAAGGGCTCGAATCATGTCCTCTAAATCATCTTCATCCCTGACACGTGCTTCACCTTCATTATTGGAACCACCTTCGTCGTTTCCATCCCAACCACCTGCATCACCACCTTGTTTATTGCCAAACTCGAGATCCATTCGTGCATCAAGCTTTGCTGAATATTGGGACAGGGATTCTAGGGTTTCATCGTCGTATTCCTCCTCATCCTCGTCGTTAACAATAATCGTTTCACCATGATGAATCCACACTGTGTAGTCAACAAATCCTAGCATAATCAAATGTGATATGATGATAGTCACATCTGTCCATGCCATACGGTTCTTGTAATCTTTACAAGGATAAATAATTGTATCATTATTCTCTGTCAACGTCGTTGCATGCTTCTTTGCGGCTTCAATAAATTTATCCACCTCTTCACGGAAACCTGCCTTGAACCTTAACGAACCATACATCCAAGAGTTCCTGTACTCCATCTTTTACAACAACAACAAAACAAACATTAAAGGAGTACTTATTCAGATATATATAACAATGAATCAAATTAATAATTACTTGAGAATAATTGTATATACTTCAGATATATATGAATATAAATCAAATATAATTACATGAAGCATACAAAAACACCATGGTAGAGGAAAATTAATTAATGGCCCATTTATCCACAAATAATTAAAATACAAATTTGTTGATTACAATAAACAATTTCAAAGACAACAATTAGCAACAATTATATTTTACCCAATATCTTTCATGCAAACTCTAGTCCAATTTCATCAAACACAAATTTATAAAAACGAAATTAATAAAAAAACCAAACCCTAGATCTAGATCTACATGCATATGAAACATCCATAAAACTAACTTTCACTAAAATCAAGAAACATGGACCAAATAGGGGTATGATCTTGTTCCCCTACCTAATTTACCTTAGTACATTCAAAACTTGAGTCTAATTTACTTCATAAATAGCTCAAGCACCATAGAAGAGAGAGAAAAATAAAACTCTAATTACTCACTAACCAATCATTAAAACTTTAAAAAAAGTGTGGAATAATATTTTCTTACATTCTACAACCTCTCCAACAAAGGATTTGAGATCAAAACCTTCCCCCCTTAGTAGAGCAATTTTTGAGAGGTGCCCAAGGCCTCCCCACCTTTCTTTCACGGGCTGGAGTGAGTGATCCGAGAAGAAAGAATGTGTTGCAGGTTTTTATATGTGGGTCATTTGTAGGGGTGGCTGGTGATTGAGCCGCCCGTACAAATGGCAGGTAATTATACGCGGGCATTTGTAGGGGCGGTTTAATCACCAGCCGCCCCTACAAATAGAAACACCGGGGGCGGCTAGTGAGTGAGCCGCCCCTATAAATCAGACCTATTTGTAGGGGCGGCTCGTACCAGTCGCCCCTGCTGTTCCATTTGTAGGAGCGGCTGGTCTCTGGGCTCCTGAGCACGCCACTATAGGGGCGGCTCCATCACCAGCCGTCCCTACAAAAAATTTGTCCCGTTGTTACAAACCGTTTTTCACGTAGTGTGTGAAGATGATCTTCCTCAAAGACAGTCGGGCAACACGAAGTACTCTCAACTCTATGAAAATGCGTGATATAGGGTCATCACACCCTTTACCGTAACGCATACTGCATACACAGAGTGGGCACTTGAAACTTTTGTCAGATGAAGTACTTCGTGCAACTAATTAAGGTCCTGTAAATAGTTACCTGCTAATAATTAACGTCTTCGATGTAAATAGATTTACTAGTTGAACTGAACTAGATAATAGCAACTAATATTAGCTATGATCTACTAGTTAGCTAACTATAGTTTAGTGCGCCGTAGGACCACTGTTCTACGTGAACCGGAGGTTAATTCGCTGTGTACGTGGACCACGGGGCTGACATCCAGAGCGAGTGTGGTGTGTTGGAGTTAGCCTGAGCGTTGAGTGGCATTATCGCAGCAAAAACCACGGGAGGCCGTAGCGAGCCTGCGGTGCGTGGTGGCATGGAATGGAATAAAGAGCTAGGTAGCTTTCCTCTCGATCTTCCAATTCTCAGGCAGCAAAGATGAGCATGGAATGGAATAAAGAGCTAGGTAGCTTTCCTCTCGATCTTCCAATTCTCAGACAGCAAAGATGAGCATGGAATGGAATAAAGAGCTAGGTAGCTTTCCTCTCGATCTTCCAATTCTCAGGCAGCAAAGATGAGCATGGAATGGAATAAAGAGCTAGGTAGCTTTCCTCTCGATCTTCCAATTCTCAGACAGCAAAGATGAGCATGGAATGGAATAAAGAGCTAGGTAGCTTTCCTCTCGATCCGTCCTTCTCCTTCCAATTCTGACATTCCCCAACAACTTAAACAAGTGCTTCGCATTGGATCATAACTGTTGGCGTCCTATAAAACGACATCATGATTCGTGGCCCAACACAAGGATACAGGAGCAACGAGCAAGGTGAAGAAGAGCAAGTCAACGACACCGGCGGCGTCGGCTTCGTGCCACGCGACCTCACGGCCACCACCAACTTGGGTAACTAACGGTGATCCATGCGGACCGCCGCTGGGAACGCCCTTGCGAATCCCGGCTCTCGCCTCATCCTCGCTCCCTGATTCTTGTTAACTCTTTTTTTTCTCTTTTTCCCTGTTGCTTGCCTTGTTCAGGTGCAGGTGCTCAGTGACTACTCTGCAACACCGCCGATGGCCGCTCCGGGCAGCGGGTTGACGGCCACCGGCCTCGCCGTCACAGTGATCGCTGTCAGCGTGGGCGTCAGCTCCACCGGCGGCTTCTTCTTGCCTCTCAGCTTCGCCGGGGTGCTTGCCGGCGCCAGCCTCATCTTCGTCGGGGTCCGGGTCGCCGACGACGACCCGACGGCTCCCATAGGACGCCCCGGGGTGCTCGCCGCTGGTGTTGTACACTGCCTGCGCCGCAACATCGCCCTCGTTGGACTCCTCTTGGCTTCCTCTGCTGCCGCCAGTGCGACGGCGGCGACAGCGGACAGGGAGGCGGCCCCGGTGCTCTGCTTCTGCGCGTTTGCTGTGATGCTACTCGGCCTCTCTCTCCTCAACACCGGAGTTCTTCTTCTCGGGGAACAGGAACACTAGTAGTTCAGTTGGTGCGATTCTTGGATGCATTCGTGCTCACTTGATTCCTGATTCCACAGCATTCCCCGCCCTGAGCTGCCAGTCCGATCGGAAATTAATCCGCCTTGGTCACCACCGCCGCTGCCGCCGCCGCCTGTCCTAATATAAGTGTGCTTTCTGGATAATCTTTATCATGTCATTGAGGTGCTAATAAATGAATCGAGTCGTGCTACTATAGTGTATAGATGTCCCCCACCCCTACTGGTCATGTAAGATAATAGTACTGTGTTTGACCATTTTGATCAAATTGCAATATATGTGTGTAGCTTGCTGAGCAGTATCATCCTCAAAGACACGTATTCACACCCATTATTCGGTAGATGCACTGACATGCATACATGGCATGTCCACGTTATTCATCATATCATATTTTGTTCAAGTTCCGGAGCACGGAAGGAAGCTTGGCATCAGCGGCTAGCTTGTCAGCCGACATGGGGCGCCTCGGCGACGGTGTCGACGAAGATGCGGACGCGGTCGGGGCGATAATCCGCGGTCACAATCGAGCCGACGGGCAGCACGACGATGTCGGCGTCGGGCTTGTCCTTGAGGATCACCTTCTTGGCTTCCTCCACGCTGAGCCCGACCACCTCCGGCCACGACGTCTTGGGGCCGCCGCACTCCGGTGCCGCCGCCGCTGTCCTCGCCGTGGAGCTCATGGTCGTCGTCGTGGGTCGCGAATTGAACTGCGAATCAGTTAAACGATGACGATGCAAAAAAAGGAAACAGACTACTACTACATTGTTGCAAAAAACGTAAGGTATAGAAAGGCAGGCACACTCACGGGCAAGTGTTGCTTGTTATCGTGTTTCTTTGTACTGCTGGTGCTGGTTATATGAAGCGAGTATGCACCGGTGAGGTATTTATAGAGAGCTGCTGCAGCCTGCAGGATGCACGATGGAGATGAATGGATCGGATGACCTGTTCTCTGCTTTCCTCTGAACGCAGACATCCCAATCCACAAGCAATCTTGTTGATAATTAGTCATAAGCCACGCAAGCTTAACGTGCAATCTATCTGTTTATCTTTCTACTAAACACATGCATGGCTGGTATATATGCTAGTACTAGCCGTACGTTTTAGCTAGCTGTGGTACGGCAAAATGCATGCATGCGCATGTCATATGTTCAGACACTGCTTAAGGTGCAACCTTTTGATCTTTCATCATCATTGATAAAGACACCACACGAAGATGCTGCACAGCTGACACTGTCTCCAACAACCGCGACCCAAAATACAAGACTCATTCGTTCTTTGGGTATCGCTACAGACAAATGATTCAATACCTATTTTTGGTTTTCTCCAACAACAAGACCCAAAAGACAACTCATTCTGCAAATGGGTCTTCAGGAGAGAGGATACTCAGATTTGAGTTATGCCTCTCCTGACACCCAAAATGAGTCTTCCATATAGGTAGTCTGTTGAAGGCTATAACTATTATGTTGGAGGCCCATTTTGGGTTTGGCTTCCGCAATGGGTCTCCTATTGGAGACAGCACGACGTGTTGGACAGGCAAACGGGATAATCCAATATCTCTAAGGTGTAAGGAATATCGATCGTGGAAGATGAAGGATGCACCAAATTATCAAAGCTGAATGCGTATAATGCGGGCAGAATTCCCAACCCTCTTTTGTCAACACGATTCTGCAGATTTCAAAGTTAAATAAAGGACTCTGTCTAGTGAAGAGTTTCGTGGTATTGTTTTCAAGACTGCCATGTCATATGAAATAAAATGAAATGAAATTTGGATGAAACATCCACTCTCAATTGAGAGTTTCATTCTACGGTTTCATAGGCATTTAATTTCATGACTCATATAGAGTTAGTAATCATGCCAAACGAGTTTTATCTACATGAAACTCTTTTCTTGTCTCTCTTCTTAAATACACTACCATAACATCAAAATACCTACGTGGCAACTTATTTAATGCAAATGAAACTCACATGAAACTCCCACTGAGACTAACCAAGTTCTTCTCTTTTCAGTTCAACGCTGCCTTACAGTTTAGGCGATTGAGACATCTGAAAGTTTGGTGCCATTAAAAATTTACAAAGTAGCCAGAGCTCTGCACTTACATATATAGTCCTTTTCATTTTATTACTTGAGAAAAAAAGAGCATGCAGTCATCAGTTGAGATTTGCCAACGAAGAAAGACGATGGTAAGCTTTTGTGAATTTAACCTAGCTTTTTTGTTAGCCTAGTGGCATGAGGTTGTCACCATTTTTGTTTGCCTAGTTGCATGAGGTTGTCACCCCTTTCTTGCGTTTGCACGTGTTAATGTTGTTACTTAGACCATTCTCTTTTTGCAACGAAGAACTTTCACACACAAATTCATAAAAAAATCGATTAGACTTTACAAACATTGCAGGATGGTTTAATGGGGACTTAGGACATGTTTGGTTCAGTTTATAAGCAACTTATGATCCAAATAAGCTGAAATTAAAACACAAACATTGCATTTTTCTGCAGTTTCCTTTGACAATAGAGAATAGACACGCTTAAACTTGATCTGAATTAGTCACAAGCCACGCAAGCTTAACGTGCAACCTTTTGATCTTTCTACTGAACACATGGCTGGTATATACTCCCTCCGTCCCATTGAGTTTGTCGCTCGGGAAGCGGGATTGTGAGGGGGGCACGGTTTTCAAACGACAAACTCAATGGGACGGAGGGAGTATTATGCTAGTACTAGTCGTACGTGTTCTAGCTAGCTGTGGTACGGCAAAATGCGCGCATGTCATATGTTCAGACACACAGCTTAACATGCAACCTTTTTTTTTTATCTCTTCACCATCATTGATAAAGACGCCACGCGAAGATGCTGCACAGCTGTTGGCTTCTTATTAGCTAACGTGTTGGACATGCAAACGGGATAATCCACCGATCTAATCAAGGTCTTGTTTAGTTTCACGTTGTAAAGTTTTGGGACGTCACATCGGCTGTCACATGAGGGTATCGCATGAGGTGTTCGGATACTAATATAAAAACAAATTATAGAATCCATCAGTAGACTGCGAGACGAATTTATTAAGCCTAATCAATGTGTCATTAGCACATGTGTGTACTGTAGCACTTTATTGTCGAATTATGGACTAATTAGGCTTAAAAGATCCGTCTAGTAAATTAGTCGCAAAACTATGCAATTGGTTATTTTTTAGTATATATTTAATACTCTTTATATGTGTTCAAACATTTGATGTGATAGGGTGTAAAGTTTTGGAAAAGAACTAAACGAGGCTTAAACAACAATATCTGTCACGGATATCGATGGTGGAACACTACGTCAGATATGGTTTTTAGGGGTGGCTAATAAGTATTTGTAGGGGCGGTTCGGCCAGCCGCCTCTACCATACCGTCTCTACAAATCATGCATTTATAGAGGAGGTTTCCAGACCGCCTCTACAAATCGATTTGTAGGGGCGGCTGGTACTGTAGCCGCCCCTACAAATCGATTTATAGGGGTGGTCTGGGAACACGAGTTGCCCCTACCAATCATTTTTCCGCCAAAAAAAATTTAAATTTACAATTCAAATTCGACCAGAACATATATTTTTCATGCACAACTCCATCATGACTTATCTTCTTCTGCGATTGTACTAAAACTCAATGACAATACATATTTATTTATACCAGATTATAACAAATATTCCATGACAATACACGGTGCAAATTATTGTGCTTGCTGTTCATTTGCATTCCACAGCCCCACCCTCACCCTCACCCCCACCCCTGATTCATTGTTACTATTATCAAGTCGTCCGACTAAAATGCAACTAATCACATGCGGGGTCTAAGGAAGAGTGTCAGTGGCAAGCCTTACCCTCGCCTGTGCAATGCGAGGAGACCGCGACTTGAATGTTGATGCTCGCTGGTAGAGATCACCCCACCGCTTGCAGCCGCAGCTCCACCTGGAATGTGGCTCCGCCCGCCTTAGCTTTGCCCGGCATCTGGCAAAGGAGGAGGTGCCGAGGACAATGATTATCCATTCCGAACAGTTGGAATGAAACACAGACTTCATAGGAATGATCTTGTTCAATTGATAAAGCCCAAGGGCATACCACTGATCTTCGATTGATGAAGCCCGGCACAGACAAACAGATGACTATTCCTATAAAGAAATACATGTAAACAAAAGGCTAAATTGCATGCAAGGAATCATCATATAGGTGTCAAAAATATAGATATGAATGAGCTACCTCCATATTTGCAACAAAAGGCTAAATTGCCTAATTAGGAGCACATTGTTGCCTAACAAATGACAATTAAATTGCCTAACAAATGACACTTAATTTGCCTAAGAAAATGGTTATGTTTCTCTTTTATGTGTGTGTGGTCATACCTCGTTGCCGCCATTGGATGCTGGCGCACACACTCCATGAAACCTCTGCCCTCTAGGCATTGTATGAAGAACTATCCCTGTAAATGCATGCACAAAAGAGAGCTGATGTCATTACATTTGTATATAGCAGGAAGCAAAAACATTACATTTAAAATGCCTACAATATGAGAACACAACAAAGGGCAACTAGCTCAATCATGTACGACATCCAGTGTTTCCATGTATGCTTAGAAATCAGAAACTCACATGAAGAAAATATGGGTAATCAGCCAGCTCGGCTACAATTATTTGGTTGTGGCTGCAGCTTATTGCAGTTACACCTACAGTATATAGTCTAGTTTATTTTTGCAGCCAAAATAGCAGTAGCCGGCCACAAGAAGCTGCATTTTCTTAGGCAATTTAAGTGTCATTCATTAGGCAATAATGTCTTCTTAAAGCAAGTATAGCGTCTGTGTCATTTGCAACCCACAGCCCCCAAGATGACTCACTCATTGATCAAGCTTCCAGTTCAATATGGCAGTTGTAGGTTAAAACCGGCAGTGATATACTTATTATAGAAACAAAAAAAAATGCTCTGCATGATCTATAGTACAGGGCACATACATACGTACATCACCTCTCTCTGGTATTAATCGCAATTAGTTCAAAGAAAGCAATCAAAAGTGAAATGGAATAGTAACAATAGCAACAAGTATTGTATAACTAAATTCGCAAGTAAACAAATAAATTCATCCATCAATCAGAAAAGAATGTGCAGATCCATACATAGGGTCGATGCATAGGGCCTCTAACTAATAACTAGTACTATATCATTACTGCTTATGCTAGTGATGTACAGAGCCTAAAGAGATAAACTAGCAGCTGCACTTTTCACCTGAGAATTCAAGCCACGCAATTTAATACCTTGCTGTTGCTACACTTGTCGCTGAACAGCTGCTAGCTACTGTTGTCGTCCACAATAGAAAAAGCCAAGCTCGAGCTGTTGCTGCTGAAAAAGACAGTAGGAAACCCATAAAAAAAGAACATAGTGTTGCTGAAACTGCAAAGTTGCACTAAAATGCCTTTCCTGTCGAACTGATATTGCTGAACAGAGATAAGCCACTCACATTACTGATATTGCTGAACAGAAATAAGCCACTCACATTACTACCCTGCAGTTGCAGTGCTTTGGTGCTGCACTTGCCAACGGGATTCGCCAGCCCCGCACTTGCGGTTGTGATGCCGCACTTGCAGTCTCCCTAGAAGTGCTAACGTAACTTAATTATTATGTGACCGAAAAGCAAAGAATGCCATGCTAATTAACCGAAAAGCAAGGAAAA